CCTTGTATTCCAAAAAAAAAAAAAAAAAAAAAAAAAAGGAAAAAAAAGAAGAGAAAAAGTATTAATTAAACCTACCATTCAAGACGTCCCAACCGTAATTCCAGATCAACCTCCATCCCAAGATAAGCAACTAATGCAGCTTATCTTCAAATGTCCTGCACAGATGGCAAGAACGGCACGGGGTTCTCCCGTCGCCCCTCAAATGGCAGAAAGTGATGAAGAAGGCTCGCCCATGCTGCTTCCCTTTACCCCAGACTTCGCCAGATGCGAGATCGCAAAAACAGTCAAGCAACTCAAGGTCCAGTACGGAACCCTAGGAAAACGCATCTGGATTCATGAAGACCTCACGAACATCCTGGTGCTAGACAAGAAAGAGGCAACCCTCTCAGACCCAACTGCAGCTAATTTGCTCCAAGGGGTGAACTGGGGAGTGGTTTTTGTGGTAACAGACGATAATAATGCCCTCCCACCGCTACCGGACCTAGATCGACTTGTATCCCACTTGCGCAAGGCAGCACTGTGCTACGTACCAACCCCAGGAAGGACGACGAAAGTGGCCTTTTGACTAGTCGCCGCGGAGCAGTGGGCGGAAACCCTCTGCCATTCGAATTGGGCGAGAACGTTTGCACACCACTCTAAGGATGCGATATCCATGACTGTTGGATCGCCTGTCCAGGGAACACATAAGAACCTTGGAAACTTTTGATGCCTAGCGTCGTGAAGAGTCAAGGAATTTCGGTAAAAGCGCGTTCCTGGCCTTAGGCCTGGCCTTGGCGGACTCACCGACAACGGCTGGCTTGACGCGACGATACCCGATTATGGACACCCCAGATATTGAAGCCCTCTGGACTCTCTTTGCAAAACTTGAATTCTCCGGCGACTGCCACTCCACCATCACACATGCGCTTCAGGAGGTATTAGTGGCCCTTTCGGACGAAGGATCTAGGATTGCGGAACTGGGGATCTGGCCGACCCGTGGGCCGAAGAAATGGATTTCTACCGTGTTGAGCAAGTCCGATTTCGCTTTGCTGCCACGGCAGGGTAGAGCCATCCACGTATCTAGCAACTAGTGTAGCGGCTAGAATTGGTGGTAAAGAACCTGGAGCTTCGGGGCAATAGAGTCAAGAGGAGCAGAGGGAGAAAGGGAGAGGCGAAAGGGTGGGGGGAAGGGGTAATTTGTCCAGGTAACTTACTGGCAGCTAAGGTAGGAGACCAAGATTAAGGGTGCTAGAGGTGGTACCTAGAACGTTAGGCAGCAGAAGGATTATCTAAAACCATCTACCCCGAGGTTTCCTAAGCGAGGCTGTTAAAACTCCAGTATCTCGTAATGCAAGCAACACGGAGGAAGAGTATCTCAGCAACTTAACTTTGGTTCTGGATTTTGGTACTCGCCCTCTATGGCCGAATGCTCTGAAAGAAAGCTAAAAGCGGAAGGTTTTCTCTTAGGTAACCTCAGTGGCTCCGCCCGGTACCCTGTCTAGGCACAAGTTTAGAGAAGGAGAGAGGAACCATCAGCTCGTTTTCACAATTCAGGCCACGTCCTTACCTGCTCAGTCAATCCTCTGGGATCCAAAGCTTCCCCACTGGTGCCTACCAGTGGCTCAATAACCATATGTATTTACTTTGATATATAGGCATCAGACTAAGTAAGCCTGAGTCAAGAGCAGTAATTAGTCTCATCTGAAGTGAAGAGCAGAAGTGAGTTGCAACTACTGTTGTAATCCTGAGTGCCTGGAAAAAAAAAAAAAACAGGGGGAGTTCAGGCGATAGAGAGAATAGGATAAAATTTTAGTGAAAAGACTTAACTAATTCCTAGGAGTCTAGGACCAACCTAGACCAAGGGAATGAAAGGAGATTGAGGCATGCAGCAAAGGGTCTAAATCTTAGGAACCTGGAAACTTCTCTGTAGCAAAGGAACTCAGTTAGCTAATTGTTTATCCCCGAGAAGAAACCGTACCCCTCAGACCATGACAAAAACACCTCCTAACTCTAGCGCAACTGGTATAAAACCCTGCCTGTCCAACCACCTAAAAAAAAAAAAAAAAAAAAAACCGAGGGGATGGGGGAGAGAAGAAAGAAAGAAGAAAAGAGAAGAGAGAAGAAAA